GTCAGCTGAGAGGAATTACAATAGCACTTTTCAAATATCAGCAAAGATTTCAAGAGAATAAAGTAAAGGTATGATCTCTCTTATTCCAGAATTGATGGAATAATTAATTTAACCATAGAAGGTAAGGTCTGACTAAATGCTAGGAAAAAAAACTTCCTAATTTTAAGAGTGTTTCACAATCCCCATGATGGCATGCATTTAAATGAAGTCTAGACAGCTGTCTCTATGCTTTAATTTGGATTGCTCTTCTGGTTAGATTTGATCTGGGATTTAATGCCTAATTGGTCATTTTTCTGTGTGTCTCTATTGTCTAAGTACATCCCTAACCAGAACATAGTTCCTGAATCTTAAAATCCTTTTCCTGGAATGAGTAATATTGTCCGTATTTAGTTTTAGATTGTTCTTCCACATCTAGTACCGTTTCCAATTATTTACTGCTTGGACCATTCAGAAATCCTGAATTTACCCAACTCCAAGTTACAGGAAAGGATTCTGCTGAATATATTGGTAACATGTTCCTAATCTGTGAATGAACCTTCATATAGATACAAAATAATATAGAGAAAAGCCTTGCTAGACTCCTTAGGGAAAATCATAGGAGGTTTAATAGATGTGTCTCAATACCTTTAATAATGGTGGAAAAGTGGAGTGGAAAGATTTTAGTGGCACCTATTAATCAAATCTTCTGATTAAAAAAACATGGTCAACTATACCCATACATCCAAGAATATCAGGAAGATTTTATTTCCCTTGTCTTTCTCCGGGTTATAAGCATCTGTCAGAACAGCCACAGCCATTGTTCGTTTTATATCCAGATGGAAAAGCATCAAAAGCACTTGGAAAGGCCACCATTATGTTCAGTTTCAATGAAAATGAATTATTGGCATCGGGCATTTGTTAAAATTGTCCAACCAAAGGTGATTTCTTAAGCAAGGGCCTTGCAAGCATCTCCTTTCAGAAGATGGGACTCTTTATATGTGAAATAATACTTCGAGTGACAATTGACTGGATCAGGCCAATTAGAAGACCTTTTCTTCTTATTGTAGCACAACACTTCCTCTTCAAAAAGAACTGAGAAATCAGATGTCTTATCTATTCAGCAACATTTGTTAGAGCTACTTCATATTTAAAAACAGCACCAGTCTGATATCAGTATCACTAATATTGTGGAGCTCTAAGCAATTAATTCTGAAGTTATTTGGTTCTGTTGCTCCAGAAGAAACACATTAGAGGCTTTGATAGTTTTCCTTTATACTTATGTTGGTATGCTTTTCTTGGAAAATTCTCCCTCCTTCTGAAGCAATGTAATTATTTTTTGGATGCCTTGGGGAGTGCTTTGCTGTGCCCCCATAAAGTGGACACATTTATTTTTATTTCATTCTCCCTTGCTGTGAAAAAACAAATGTAGCCAGCGAAGTATAAGGAAAAGTGGAAAGCCTCTGTGGTTTATAATGCTGTCATATTGGCTAAATAGAAGGTGTGGTGCCTGGTTCAAGGGAAGAAAAAAGCAAAAACACAAGCATCAGAAAAAAAATATTTTGGCAGTGAAGCAAAGCCAAGGGCATTAGATACATGGCCACTGATTAGCAATTGATTCTTTTATAACTACCACTTTTACTACCTATGACCATTACTTCTATGTACATTCTGGCATTCTGCATGGACCTAACATTTGTTTTAATAATAGTTTGATTTGGGAGGGGGGTTCTAACTTTGAATACAGTGAATACTGCTTATAAGCAATTGCTTTCACTATTTACAAACACCTTACATATTTAATTGCTCTTATATTATAGATTTGCTTCAACATATTCAGTAGTTGGAGAAGAAAAATATATCAAGTTTAGTTTTAAAACAAGTTAGTGATTTTTTTTCCATCAGCATTTCATAACTGCAGATAAAATGACTTCCTGTCTCTCAGTTTCCTGTATCCATGGTAACTTGATTTCAGCCAGTCATTGTAGAGGAGCCAATGGGAAGAGTAGTATTTCCTGTAGGAACAGTTGCAGAACTGGTAGGCAAAGTGAGAAATTTCAACAGAAGGAAAACATTTAACTGACAAAATGAGCTTCATATTCTTGGTGAGAATTTTAATATATTTTAAACTTAGAATAGTAGAAATGTTGTTACTATAACTATATGCAGTTATGAAGGATGAATCATTAAAAGTTGAAAAATATAATTCATAATAATATAACTTACCTGACAATTTTGTATCAGAACTTTTATATTCTGTTTAAATAATGCAAGCATTTAATTTTATCATTAGCAATCTTCAAATATGGTAAATGTAAATTTAATTTTAACTATAAATGATGGAATAAAATATAATAAAGGTAGTCCTTGACTTACAACAGTTTGTTTAGTGACTGTTCAAATTAAAATGACACTGAAAAAAGTGACTGCAGTGTCCCAGGGTAATTTTGTGACCTTCCGACAAGCAAAGTCAATGGGGAAGCTAGATTCTCTTAACAACTAGGTTACTAACTGAATAACTGCAGTGATTCACATAACAAATGTGGCAAGAAAGGTCATATAATGGGGCAAAATTCATTTAACAAATGGCTCACTTGAGAACAAACATTTGGGGCTCAATTGTAGTCGTAAATTGAGGACTACCTATAAAGCACTTCAAAATAATTGTACAAGTAATACTGATAAAAATAATGAGCTATGAGAATTTTGAATAAGCATTTTTTAAACTTTTTTCCTGATAGCGCAGTCAAATGTGACTTGGAGAGTCAAAGCCTGGAATATGTATCAACTTCATCACTTTGAGTCACTTCGGCATATTTTTAATTGTCTTCTGCTGATGATGATCCAAAAGGATATATTTTGTTGTCCATCAGTTTGCCAGCAGTGTATACGCAGACAAGTTGACTGTCGTAATTCAAGTCTTTCTTTTATTCCAAACAATTTTTCACAGAATACTTTATTTCTGTACTTAAGTGGCAACAATATATCCCACATAAATCCTAATGCACTGATAGGCCTCCAGCAGCTTGTTGTGCTACACTTGGACAATTCTGGCATTGTATATGTATATCCAAATATATTTGCTGAATTGAAAAAATTATGGTATCTACAGCTGAATAATAATCATATAAAATATTTATATCCTGGAACATTTGAAGGACTTTCAAATCTTCATTCTTTATATCTTCAGAATAATGAAATTGACTTTGTTTCTGAAGGATTATTTGGTAACCTCACTTCTGTTCATTATCTAATGCTGCAAAATAATCACCTCAGGATCCTTGGTAGCCGCATTTTCTTCGGCATGATTAATCTTCGAATTCTGAACCTAGCAAACAATAAGATTTCACAAATATCAGACAGAGCATTCCAGCACCTTGATAATCTTACAGGCTTGCACCTTGAAGGAAATAATTTAACATGTGTGCCATCCACAGCGTTTCTAGTACTGAGGAAACTTCAAAAACTTTCATTGTCACAAAACCCTGTTGGGTCAATTCCTCCTTTTGCATTTAAAGGACTTAGCAAGCTTGAATATTTATTTTTAAAAAGTGCAAAAATAAACACTGTTAACGCAAATGGATTTTCAGGGCTACTCAATCTTAAAAAGCTAGTTTTGAGCGATAATAATTTAGTAAATATCAATTCCCATACTTTCTCATTGTTGGGTCATTTACAGTTTTTGTATCTTGACAGAAACAAAATAATTGATATTTCAGATAATACTTTTGAAGCCATAGGATTGTCTTTGAAAATACTTGATCTGTCTTTCAATAATCTTACATTTTTGCAGCCTATAGTGCTCAAGCCTTTGGTTTCTTTAACTCACTTACAGGCAAATTACAATCCTTGGAATTGTAGCTGCAAATTACACAGATTGATGAATTGGCTAGCTGCTGCTTCTTTCTCTGTGAAACTCCTTTGTCAAAGTCCTTCCAGTCTGCATGGAAGATATATAAATTATGCTAGCTTGCATTTGTTCAAAAATTGTTTCAATAGTACAAACCTTGACATTTTCAAGAACAGTAAATCTTCAGGAATCCAGCAGAGCTTTACTACTTCATTAATGGCACAGAATATGTATCTCACAAGGAATACAGTTAAAGAACAGTTGAAGTTTAATGCAAATGCAGTTACATCACTGGTAAAAGCATCTTATACATCTGCTTATCAAAATCTCAATGAAGAAAATTCTAGTAGGAAGTCAAAACAAGAACAAATAGCAACGCAAACGATACCTGCTAATTTGACCATGAAAGAAAATAAAGTACTATCTCCGGAAGCTGTTTCTGTATCATTTAAAACATCACTAATTTGTTCACAGCAGGTAGAGAAACTAAAGCAGGCTTTTGACATTTTATTAAGCTTTTTCATTTTGGCCTGTGCTATGATCTTCTTTTTGTTCTACAAAATCATTAAATTGAAACAGAAGCACAATGTGCAAAAGAACTCTGACAATGCAATAGAATACTATGGCTTTTATCAGGCTGGTAGTTACAATGTTACTGTACCTCAGAACCCACTGGGAAGTTCTGAATTGGATCCTGTTGATCTTTCTAAATCAACGGCCCTTGAAAACCAAGCACAGGTTATCTTATTTGAACATTCAGCACTGTAATACATCCATCACACTTTTTCTTTTCATGTGTATAGAAGGCAACACCAGATGACTTGTAAATACAAGTTTAACTGATGTTAGGCTGGGAGGTTGAAATACAGCTAATATTTTTTCAACCTTTACATTTTGTTCTGATTTTAATATCTGCATTTTATTGATTGTAACTATATTTTATCTATAATTACTAAATTTTAATTGATCTGTCTAACAATTACAAATCATTAATGTGATTTTATGTTTAATATTCTGCATAAATTTGATGTTAGATGTTATATTAAAAAGAACAGGTTTTTTAAACTGTTCATTACTATTGATAACTTCCTAGAAATAATTTCTAATTATTTCATGTTACCAGCTATTTTGGACACAATCATAAATTTCTGCAATGTTTATTAAGATTGCATTTATTATGAAATTATTGTGTAAAAATTACATTATCTGGAATAATTAAAAAGAGTATTTACAAGAAAATTAATTGATTCTGGTTTCAATCTTCATTTCCCTCTGATAAAAGTTACAATGGAAGCATTATGCATATTGGAGGTTTTTGTTTGGTTTTTTAAATAGCCCATAGCACTTCTGCTACAGGAGGCAGCAGCAGATTTTATCAACTTCCTCCCATATAATTTTTGTTGTTCTTTGAAAAATTTGGTGGAGGCCAAATTATATAGGGTATGTGGGCTCATTGGTGCTCTCTGAGCTGGGTTGTTTTCTTGCAGACATTTTATTACTCTGCTAAGTAACAACTTCAATGATAAAAGGGAGGTTTGCTATTTGTTTGCATACAAGTGACTTGCCCTATCAGTGTGGTGTAGGAATGTACAATAGTGCATGGTATCAGAACTGTTGAAAGCAGGACAAATAAGAGAAAAGAGATTTAGTTTGAATTTCAGTTTCTTTCAAAGCATATGCTTCTTCGACTCAAAGAAGGAAAAAATCTAAATGCGGTACATGGGGTAATTATCATGTTCCAGGAACTCTACTAACATCTTTTTTTTAAAAAAAAGCAATGTGTATACATCTACTAATGATGCAAAGCGAGCATCGTCTTTATATACTAGAGTATCTTATCACCCTATATAGTTCTAGTTATGAATTTTTAGAAAATAAAAATGATTCATGTTGCATTTCATTGATTTAAAAGTGTTCTCCTATTATTCCAAGAACAAATTAGAAAGGGTAAGGAACATCCAGGAGTCATAGAGAGATGTTGAATAACTTCCTAATTCTGGTAAATGTCTGTTGCTGCATTACACTGATTTGAATTTTAATATTCCTGAGTATTCTCAAGTTCTACTGTCAAAATGGAATATATATATTTGAGGTTTGGTAAGTCCTTAGCTTTATGGATTACATAGGAAAGAGTTGAGCAGGAACCCATCTCACTGGTTAAACAAAAAACATGTTGTTAAACATATGTATGCCAGTGTGACTGGATTGTCAAGATAGATTGTACTATATTTGTGTAACAAAGAAATAATTGCAGCCTAACTTTTTTATAGTTAAGATTGTAGACTATTTAGATAGCATGTGCGCTTTGTCTCTGAATTGCAAATGTCTTCCATATAGAAACTATATAATACTGGTTGTTACACAATATTCTGATACCAGGATATTCTTAGTTTTGGGATAAACATGAGTGATCAGCTAAGTATTAAATAAAAGAAAACTGAAAAAATATAGTAAAAGTAATGCTAAACTTATTTTCTATTTAACTAAACAATTTAAATAATTTCCATGTCTTTTCTAGTATTGTCCAAGATAAATTTTGTGGTATCATAAATATTTCAGTTGAAGGGTTGCATGATGTTATGACTGAAGATATAGAAACAAGATCATTCAAAGAGTAAGTAGAACATTACTTTGCATGTGCATACTGAAGTGAAGCTACCAGATAAATAACTCATTGTCACTAGAGGGAGTAGGTGCATTTTGATATTCTTATATGGAAATATTATAAATGTGATTATATACTAACTGTTCTTAGATTGGATCATAAAGATAGATAATATTTTAAATGCATTTTCAAGATTTTCATTTCAAGTTTTTATTATTGTTCACTTTGCACAATACTCTTTATGCATACTTCTGTAGAAGTCTTTAGCATTGAACAACATATATTTATACAATTCCTTAAAAAATCCTTCTTAGGATGATTGAAAGTCTAATATATTTGCATTTTTTTAGTTGCATGTTGATGTCTAGTTTTGAAGAACCAAAAGTGATAGAAGAAGAAGAGCCACCCACAGAACAGGACAAAAGAAAAAAGATGGTATAGTCAAATTCTTAATTATATTAATTAATCTTCAGCAATTTGTAAATTAACTTTTTCTTCTCCCAGTTGTATAATTATTCTCAGAGGAACCGATGATAAAACATTGGAACCCCCCCCCCCCCCAAGACATTGGCTGTTTGAGATGGGAAAGATAATAAATGAGACAAAATAATAATTGCACATGAAGAACCAATAAGAAAAATAATTATTCAGAGAAAAATAAACTGTGGTTCAAAATTCAAAATCAAGTCAGTTTATATTTCTGGCTTGCCATTGCCTTGAGATCTGAGAGAAGTGACTGACCCAAGTGGTCTTGTGGCTAAAATGATATTAGAACTCAGAGTCTTCTGGTTTCTCTTAATCGCTACACTAAATTGACTTTTACACCTGTAGTTGTGTTGTGATAAAAGAGTGAAAAGAAAATAAAAATAGAAAAATTCTATCCATCCCCAACCAGAAGCATATCTAAATAGACTAATAATACGCTGTTTCTGGTTCATCTCATTTTGACAGTTCGAATGAGAAACAAGGTCATGCTATCATTTCGTCTGAGAATGCTGGCTACTTAGTACTTTTTGATAAGAAATATAAAGAAATGTGCAAAATATTTCAAGTTTGAAGCTTTCCAAACAGTCCCCTTTCATTCTGACCACAGAATGGCTGATTTTCAATAGCAAAACACATTAGGAGGTCAAAATGGAACAGTTTGGGGTCAGAATATTTTAGTCTTAAAATATTTTGTACATACCTATAGATGTATGTCTGAGCATTCCAAATTCCTGAGACTTAAAATTACTATAAGCCCTTCTGTTCAGCCATAAAGTCTTACTTTTGCAGAAAAGTGTATATGGAGGAATAATCATCAGTTGGAATCCATTGAATATAAGGCTAAGCAATCTGGTGATTTCCAGATGTTTTGGACTATTTTTACCATGTCGCAGACTTACAAGTCTTAGTCAGTGTCAAGGTGTTTGAGAAATGCCATCGGAATCGTCTGTGGAACACCATTTTATATTAGTACCAAAAAGTACTAAGTAGCCCTGTTTTTTTCTACTTCTGTCTCCATGACAAAAAATCTTCATGTGAAGCCCATAAAGAAGGTTTTTCTCCCCTAATTATTCAAAATGCTACTTAAAGCATTCTTCATAGGACCTTATAAAAATCTGTGATAATGCAATACTTGCCTCGGCTTACGCTCTAAAAATCATTAGACAGTAAAACATGTGTGATGGTAAAGGGAAGATAAAAGCAAGCTCAGCACAGATATTGAAAATTCGATAATAACCAGCTGGGTTGGAAGCAGTTCAACAGATTAATGAAGAGGTAGTTGCTGGGTGCCAGTTGAGACAGGGCCAAGATAGTTCTTGCAGAGACAGTTGTATTACTTTCTTCTCAGTTTATAAATTGTATAAATCAGGTATCCAATGTATTTCTTTCTTAGCATCATTAAAAATGAGTGATTTTAGCTAAATCAGATCTTTAATTTGGGACATTTTATATCTACCAGTATTTTTTTTTAAAAAAATCGATATTAGCTTCTAATAAAATATTAGATATTCTATAAAAAGTGATGGCTATCTAGAAATATTTTAGAGAAGCTGATAATTACAAAATAGCTGACAGTGAATAAATTAATCTGACGGAAAAAGTGGCTTCTTATTGTTGCCTAAGGAGATTTGATGCTATTAATAATTTGACAGTTAAACTGTACATAATGTGTTATCCCTTTATATGTCTTTGTTCAAATAACAATACTATGGCAGGCATACAGCACTGAATTGTTAAAGTAATTTGCAGGGAGAAAAGTGGAGAATTTAGCAAGCTGTACAGTAATTCTTCAATGCTCTTCAAGAATTATATTATCACAGAGTTGACTCTTACACCGTACTAGTATAAATGGAAGATATTAACAATATTCATTGAGCAAGATGAACATAATTCATTTTTTTCATCCATAAAGGTTCATGGAAGAAAAGTTCAAAGGCTGCTTAATTTCATATTTCAATATGCCAATACTAATTTGAAAATATGAGAGTATAAACCAATATATCTGAAGGCACTGATTTAAGTGGAAATGTAGAGTGAGGTAAAAAGCCAGAAATTGAAAACATTCTTTGAATAGTAAAGTTCTAACATATGAAATTAAAAGCAACTGTACTTTTCTCCTAAGGGTTTTTCTTGTTATAATACAATTTTACATTATATAGTTTCATTTAAATATATATTATTATTCTCATTGGCAATATAGTGATGTCACTTATGTATTACTCAGTGCTCTTTTTAGTCTCAGACAAATATAGAATACTGTTCACCTCATTAATACATTTTGGTTTTCAATTCTGCTGCAAATCTTGAGACTAGACACTAGATTTAAGTAATTATGAATCACTGTTAATGTCCAAACTGGTATATATGAAGTTTTTGACCTGAACTCTAACTTAAAGGCTGTTTATTTGTTTTGGAGCCTTCAAGACAGTGTTAATTCCTAATGACTACTTGAACAAGTCCTGCAACTTTCTTGTAAAATTTCAGACATGGTTTGCCATTGTCTCCTTCCTAGGCCTAAAGGACTGATTGACCCAAGCTCATGCAGCTGGTTTTGTACCTAAGGCCGGATTAGAAATTGTGGCCTCCTGGTTTCTAGCCTGATTCCTAGCAGTCTTACCGAAAGGATCAGGAAAGAAACATGACCAAATGAACTAATTATACCTTATTGTAAGGCCACATTAACATCTTGCATGTGTGAAAGTCCCTCTTTCTGTTTTACAACCTGAGAAATTAGAAAGGATCTCTTCTAAGCCTCTTTCTCCTATTTAACTGTGGACTATGTTGGCTCTTACCCAAACATTCTCTACGTAGCCTGTCTCTCAAATCATTCCCATATATTATTATTATTACAGTGCCTTAACCACTTGAGACTGCAAATTATTTTTTTCTTCTATTGGAATTATGTTGTGCTGCTGTGCCAATACTAAATTTAGGAAATGGAAATGGAGGAGGGATGTCTTTTCAAAGAAGACTTTTCTTTCATTATTTTAAGCTCAAGAATTGGATATATATATACATGTAGTCCTTGACTTACAATCAGTTACTTAGCAGTTGTTCAGAGTTACAATGGAGTTCCCTGTGGGTACTTATGACCAGATTCCGAAGTTGCAATGACTGGGTCCTCCTGGCTGCATATTAGGAGTTCAGCAACTGGTCCACATTCATGTCACGTGACCACATTTTATAACATTTTGCCAAAAACCAACATTTACTTCCAGTTCTGAACAAAACTGCCCCATGGTGACCATCTAACAGTCACATGTTCACTTAATGACTGCCGCAAAAAAGTTGTAAAATCAGATTAGTCATCTGACTAATTTGTTTTATGACCATCACAACTTAACAACTGTAATGGACAGGCTAAGGTGAGGGCTATGGATACTTAACCACTTTATAGAGATTCTTTATGTAGGTGTAAATTGCTGCCTTTCATTTTGTTTGTATCATCCTGAGCTGTATATTATTTTATTTTATTTTTTGTAAAATATATACTTTTTGTTAAAGATGCAACTTTAAAACTCAACAATAGGACTTATAATATTATTATCAGGGACTCTGTCTATTTTTAAATTTTAATTTCAATTCTTTGTTCATACTGCAAATTTCACCATAAATTTCCCAGAAAAAAATTGCAGTAGAATATGGAGGTGAGGTATTTCCTGGTTTTGTTTTTTGCTTTTGGTTAAAGACTACTTTCTCATAATTGTGGAGCAATTTTTTATGTTTTTGCTCAATTCTCATAGAAAATTGGATACATAGCTGACGTCTTGATGTTATTAGCAAATAAGTTGCCTACTTATATGTTGTCAAAAAAGAGTAATTACAGAGTGTTTTGACAAATATTTATGAAGATCCAAATTTAGAAATATAGTAAGTTAAATTGTCATTCATCATATCACTATAGAGAAGGTTGATAAGCTGCATACAAAATTTTTCAGTTTGCTATCTAGATATACTTGTTCATGGGCTAAATAAAAATGTCATTTTCCTCCCTTACAGTTTTGTTGTGTTTTTAAATCAGATTAAGAATGGCTAACTCTTTGAGGACTGCTGCCTCAAAGGGCACAAGATTTCTGTAATTTATTATTTTAA